CCCCCGCCCCCCCCCCCCCCCCCCCCCTATACTTTTTGACCGGTCCCTTATGTTTTTGCGCGATGATGTGTGGCATTCTACGTCAGTCGTCGTCGTATTCGCTTTCGTTTTGGTTTTGCACAATTCTTTTAGTTTATATTTTTATCTTTTCAGATCTTTATGTTTTTTGTATAACTTTATTTCTGTATTTAGGTATTTGGACCTGGATTCTTTTGAAAGTAGACTCATTTTGGAGTAGTCTATGTAACAAGGGCAATACATTTCCCCACATTTTCGTATTTTAAAACGTTCCAGCCTAGAACATATAAAAGTATTTTTCTAGAAGTATTACATTGATGCAACTTAACAAGGATACATCTGCATCAGATGACTGACCGACGCATTCTAAATAAACTTTTCACATTAAGAGTCTTGTGTCAGTGGCCGGTCATAGTGTAGCCTATATGGACTGTGATTCTTCTTTATCCATTTAATTTAATTTTTTTTCCCGATACCACCATAAATACGCTTTAATTTTTTTATAGCTCTCTGAAATGTGGTTGTTTTGCTTTCTAAAGGCTAAGTTGATAAAGACAATTCACCATTTTTACAATGCCCAAATAGCCCGTTGCCTACACCCCAAAATTTTGCATAAGCATTATCTTCATTTTCCCTTGGAACGACTCTTTTATCCAGGAGAAATTGGAAACAAGGTGTATTATGGGCTGTCGGGGCTATGTGAAAATGGTCATTATGAAAACAGTTTAGACTGTGGGCGCTGATTTAGAAATTTAATTTGCATTTTTACTCACAGTTGTGCAAAGAATAGGTTCCTGTGGATAACTATCAGATTGAATTCATGCAATTCATGTGTTATTTGCTGTTAAACTATGCGGGATTGTTTCCCCTCACTTACCCACCTCTTCACCAACAACGATGTAGCAACCTTGTTCAAATGCTCCCCCACCCCCCCCACCCCCCCCCCCCCCGTCCACCCCCGCATCCAGTCCCATCAATCGTTCGTCTTTTCCTTCGTTCCTCACCCAGACAACCCCGACTACATACACTACTATACCTGAAACAACCACTCGCTTCACGTATCTGAAGTGACCACTGATACGATCATATTGTAACTGACACAATGAC